TTTGGCAAACTTGGCATTAACATTTGGCATACTATTACAATATTTTAAAAAAATACATCTTGATTTCACAGTAAAGTCATGTAGAATTTTTATTTTACTAAATATTAAGAGAATATAAATTTTCAATTATTCAAGTATTTAAATGTACATAGAATAAAAGGGACAAAAGTATATGTTTTGTAAAGCAATGCAATACTATTTTTACCATTTCTATATTTTTACCGTATTCATGTCTTTATTTTGAATAATTTCTGCTTTTTTTATAAAATTGTTTTCTCTTTATATCACTCATGTATAGTAAGAAGAATGTAAAAAAATTATAATAATAATAACTTTATTATGTATTTGAACAGCCCAGTTACCTCCTTTATTTACTCGATGTTTAATCAATATTTAAAAAAATTTTCCCGCCAATGTTTAAGAAAAGAAGAAGCAGATATATATCATTATCTGTCTAATATCAAACTAATTCTAGGAAGTGGAGTGGAGAAAATAATGTTCTCAACAATTTTTTTCTTTTTTAACTTTTAACTTACCTTTTAAATATTTAAAAATAGTTTGAAACAAGAAGTTTCATTTCACTAGATTTTATTTATGTAGAAGTATATTAATAAAAATAATAATAATTTTAGAAATATAATAATAGTAAAAATAATAATAATAACATTTTCTATCAGTTTAATATATGAATGAAAATAATTTTATTATTCTGGTACTAGTGTCCCTTTAGAATAAATTACAAATACAGAATATATATTAATATTCTGGTGTGTCCATAAAATTCAATTTAATATTTACAGGATGGTTAGGATTACAACAAAATTATTGATAATAAAAAGATATAAAAATGTGTATAAATGTAAAATAAACAGATAAAGTAAATTAAGTAAACAAAATATCAATGAATCACAAAATCATCAGAATATCTGGGTGTACTTTGAGATTCTTACAGCTTAGGTTTTTAAGTGCATTCCTTGATCAATTGGATTGGGAATGGAGTAGGTGTTTGAAGAGGAGAGATTTGAAAGAGGATATTGATTTTGCTTGTCGAATATCTGAAGGTATAGAGTTCCAGAGGGAGACAACTTGAATTAAAAATTTATCAAAGCAGTTTGCTGAGGAGGAGGATAGAGGTCGGATGCACAGGATCTGGTGGGACGGGATTGAAAGAAGGAGCGTTTGAATTGTAGGATCTGTAGAATATAGGCCGGTCACCGTGTTCTAATGGCCTGGTAAAGTAAGGTAGTAAGGAAATATTGACGGCAGTAGGACGGATAAAGCCACTTCAATTTTGTGTAAAACTGGGTAATATGCATATCCCTTGAGATCCCGAAGATAAAGCGGATTGAGCAATTCATTAGATGTTTAAGTTTAGCTTTGAGCTCTCCCGAGAGTCCACCATACACCATGCAGCCATAGTCGAAGTGAGGAAAAACAAGAGAGGAAACCAGGAGTTGACGGGTTTTGAACAGAAGAAGATAACATAGATGGTTAAACTGTTTCAGAGTGGATATAGTACGGCAGGAAATTTGAGAGATGTGTGGTTTCCCAGAGAGTGTTTGATCGAAGATAACACCAAGGTTTTTAATGGTGGTATGGAAGGAGATAAGTGAGTTGTTCAGAAGAAGATTAGGAGGTGCTGAAATGGTTTTGAAGAGTGAGGGGGATCCAATCAGGATGTAGATGGGGGGGGGTTCATTGATGTAGATGGAAAAGAGGGTGGGGGATAACCTTGTGGGACGCCTCTGGACAGAGGTAGAGACATTGATTGAGGGTTATTAGGAACTATAATGTACTGGGAGCGATCGGTGAGAAAGGATTGGAACCACTTAAGGGCACTAGATGATAAGGAAATATTTTTAAGTTTGGTTAGGAGGATATTATGGTCAACTGAGTCAAATGCTTTAGAGAAAGCAGGAAGGATCAGGATGGTGAGTTTCTGTTGGTCTATGACTGTGTGGAGATCTTGGGAGATTTTAATGAAGGCGGAATGAGTGGAGTAGTCAGGTCTAAAACCAGACTGGAAGCAGTTTAATGGTTATTTTGTTCTAGATATTGGAATAGTTGGGATTGTACTATTCGTTCTAAAGGTTAGATAACAGGGAAATTGGACAGAAATCATTAGGGGTTGTGTGATTAGAGATTTTGTTCAGTGGACAAACAAGGACGGTTTTCCAGATGCTGGGAAAAGTGGAACTTTGTAGTGAAAAATTATGGAGATGATATGGGATTGGGAAAATGGATGGAAGTGTGGATTTAATTAATTTAACTGGGATATTATCTGGTCCGAAATCTTTGGTTTAGGATTTACAAATGGATTTAAATAGGTCGTCAGGGGTAATATGCAAAAATAAAAAATGATTGGGATTAAAGGGGAGAAGTATGAGTGGTGGAGCTGGTGCTTGGACAGAGGGATAGGATGAACAGGAGACAAAATGAGTTGAGTATGTCAGCTGAAGTAGAGGTAGTCTGGATTTGGGTGGATTTGCCTTAGGATAATTTACGGAGGATTGCCCACATAGCTTTTGAGTTTGGAGTGCTGGATAAGGATTGTTGGTAGTAGTGGGATTTGGCAGGGCGTATCATGGATTGGTTACTATTTTGAAGCAGCTTGAAATTCGTGTAGTCTTCGGGGAGTCAAGTGCGCTTAAACCTATGTCTTGCTGCACTCTTCGTTTGATAAAATTTTTTATCACAGGCGTCAACCAAGGGGCTGGGGGCTACTTGATTGTCCTGACTTTAAGAGGAGCGTGACGGTCTAGGATAATGTGCAGTTGATTGGTTAAGGTTTCTACCATAAAATATACAGAGTTAGAAGGGTATATGGAGTCCTATTGGATTGCATCAAGATTGGGCATCAAAGTTTTGGTGTTAGGAGATTAAGGTTTCTGAAAGATATAGATCGGGGACAGAATAGAGGAACAGGAGACCTGTATGGGATCATGAGCAGACAAAAAAGGAACCGGGTGCTGTGATGAGGCGAGGAGTTTACCAGGAGAGTCAATAATGCAAAGATCAAACCAAGTGTGTGAGTATTGGGTGTAATGGGTAGGATTGTATGGGACTATATACAGATTAAGAGAGTAGAGGAAGTTTGATAAATAATCTTGGTCAGAGGAAGGAAATAATAGGTTGGTATTGAAATCTCCGAAAAGAGCAATATTAGAGTAGAAAGGGCTCAGTTCTTAGAGGATGGTCTCGAGTATTTCATCAAAGGGGATTCTAGGAGGTTGATAGATGACACCAATGAGCAATAAATATGAGGAGGTGGATATTTCAGCAAAAAGATATTCGATATGTGGGGAGACGGAGAGAAGAGACAAAGCAAGGATTTTGGATTTCAGGCTATCATGGACAAAAATGGGTACTCCGCCTCCAATTCTATTTTTTCTATCGTGACAGAGTAGGGTATAGTTAGGGAGTGAAACTTGAGAGGATGTGATTGTGGGTTTTAGCCACGTTTCAGAGGCAGCGATTAGGTGGTAGAAGTTGTTGAGGAAGAAATCATGGAATTCGTCTATGTGAGCTAAAAGTGTCTGTGCGTTGACATGACAGGGTAATAAGACATTAGTCATAAGAGATGGTAGATTGGGACAGTAAATCGATAAGAGGGGCGAAAGATATGGAAATAATTAGGTTGGATTGATCTGAGATACACCATAGATGCTGAAACATTAATAGAAAAACTATTGAAAAGTAGAAAATAGAAAAAATAGGTAGAGGAAATAATCCAGATGGTATCCTGTAATCAATGGAGATAAGAAACAAAAAAAACAGTAGATCCGTACTAACAGAAAATGAAAATATACTCTGGCGAAAAATGAGTAATAATACTAATAAAAATAATAATGAAATTGGCTGCAATATACACATAAACAAAATTGAAGGAAATATTAAAGTTATAACAGTTAAGTAAATAGAAGAAAGTAGCCAGAAAATGAGGTGGTGGGTTGGAGGAACGAGAGCAGAGAAGTCAAGCAAAGACGTCAAGGTCAGAAGGTGAATTTATGATAACTACGGACTGACTGTCGGTTCGTCTACACTTCACTTTGCCATCACCAAACCAAACATATTTTATTTTTCCAGCCGCCCTCCTCTGTCTGGCTAGCCAGTACAGGTGCCTGTTGGTCGAGGTCATAGCTTCTCCGATGAAAATTTTGTGAACATCGTTCTGCCAGCCCATGTGACGAATAGATAAATCTCTTACTACTTTACATTAATGAATAAGCTCATCTCTTAGCGTTTGTTAGACAAATCTGACCAATAGTGGACCGGGTATATGTTGTAGTAAGTGTAAAGAGAAATTATGGGAATGATGAAGGATCCTCTATCTCTCCTAAATGTCCCCTTTAGTACAAGGGAAGTTTAGGGGATGGACTCTGATCTCAGCCATTTAGGGACGATAAGAGAATAGTGGAGTATAAGGGACGTCTATGCATTTCACCCTCTGTGATTTAATGTTCTTTCAAACTGTTGGCTCCTTTTTTTGCTCCCTCATTTTTCTCCACTTTGATTATAATTCTCTTTTATCCAGTGAACTGTCTTGTGACCATGATATTAGATTGAAGAGACTAACGATTTGTTTAATTATAATTATCTTTGGAGTCCCCAGGAGCTCCCAAGTTTCCAGTTTTTCTGTCTAGTTGAAGTGGTTCTATCCAGTTTTCTGACAGCAATATTTCCTAAGTGTATTCCTTTTCCAACCTTAATAACAAAAAACCTTCTTGATTTGTTTATTACTTATTCCTCTGACCATTCTTAACGGATATTAAAATTGAATTTGTTAAATTCAACTGTAATCAATAAGTTTTATTGAATTTAAAAATTTAAATAATTGTTTTTTGTTTTTTTTAGTAATATGTAATTTTTTTATATGTATAATAATAATTTTAATGTTTTATTGCTATTCCACTTGTTCGGATTCTTTATGGTAATTATATTTTATATTATTTTAGTTTCATTTAATTAATTTTTGTTTCTAAAATTTATTTAATCTACAGTGATGATTCATGAACCTGCAGTCCTGATTGAAGGTGTGCTGTTTCGTGCTCGGTATTTAGGCTCAACTCAACTTGTTTGTGAAGGTCAACCTACTAAAAGTACTAGAATGATGCAAGCAGAAGAAGCAGTTTCAAGGATAAAGGTAAACTTTTGTGTTAAGGAATATGAATTTGACATTAGCTTATAGGAAACTTTCCTTTTTCAGACTACACAATAAATAATCTCTTTCTGCTTGTGTTATAATACTTCTTTTTGTAAAAACAATTTTTTGTGTGTTGGAATAATTGAAAATTTGCATGTTTTATGTTATCATTTTTATCTTTTTAATTTTGTTTTTTTTAAAGAGATTATCTATTTATATATTTGTAGCCTTGTAATGTGTTTATTTATGCATGTTAATGGAGTTTTCTTATGCATATTTTATTTATCATATTGTAACTATATATATTTTTTTTTCTCCATAAGGAAGTTTTTTTTTGTTCAATTTTTTCTTTAGTTTTATAAATATTTCTTGAAATGTTTAATACATACCCTTTTAAGTACAGCTATCTCCATTTTTTTTTTATAATACATTTCTTTAATATAATTTTTAAAAATTTTTTGTATTGCAGATATGCTACTTTTTTTACTACATTTACAGCAAGTATATGAGCTATATAGACTATGTGATAATGGCTTGTTTAGAAATTATCCATTGGTAGCAGCATATTGAATATTTTATATTAGGAAGTCCGAGGAACATCTTCCTTTGTCTTGGAAGATTATGATAAATAAATAGGAATAACAGATTATGAAAAACATAATCTGATTTTCAAGTTTCTAATCAAAGGTCTTTATACTTTGAGTCAACTTAGCATATCATTGGTTTATTGAGAAAAGTAATTGAGTAATGTTTTAGAAAATTAAAAAAACTGTACTACTATAAAGGGACTTGTCCCAGAATAAATAAAGCATTATTATTAAAATTAAAGTATTATTACTACAGCCTGTGGAGGGTTTTAGGTTCAATACTTTGTAAGGAAATTTTGATTCATGGCCATTGGTTGTGCAGGATAGTGATTTGGCCTAGATCACTCTCCACCAACTATCTAACAGAATAAACCACAATCCTGCTATAGTTGGATAAAAACCTTGGGTCTTGAGCATAAGAAGTCAGTGCCTTACTCACTGAGCTACCCCGCTTCCTTAGAAAATTAAATAAATAATTTGATGAATTTTCTCTTTGAGATCAAAGCCTTTTTCTCATTGAGCAACTATTTTGGACAAATAATATCAGTCTGGCTTCATCCAGTCCACAGCTATATTTCTTTGTCATTTAACATTAATAACAACGAGTTTGATTAATTATTAAAAGCGATAATAGTGAAAATAGTCTGGTGTTATCATAGCTTTAAATTTAAAATAACTTTATAATTATTTAATTGTGAATTGTTTACAAATGGAAACTTGAGTTAACTTATGACAGTTGGTCACTGCTCAGAGATAAGACTGCTTATTCCCACTCATACCTACTCCCTCCAGCATCTACTGTTATCAACTACAAAATGTTCATCTCTAGTCATCTCAATTCATTTAGTAATCATGATTCTGTGCCCCATTTGTAAAGAAGCGTTTGCCGGAAATGACAAATTAGCAGGTCATGTATGTAATATTACATATTTTAATAAATGTTGTGACTTCAAAGATCCTGGAAGTCACATCATTGAAAAACAAAAAAGGAGCAGTTCCAGTGCAATTTCTGTGAGAATTTTGTCTGGTCGGGGAGCTATTAATATTGCATTACACTTAATAAAAATATGGAAGAAAATATTGCCATCCTTGCAGAAAACTAGAAAACACCAATGATAGTAAAGAAATTAAAAGTAGATTAAATAAACAATCCAATGCAATTTTCGATAACTCTGATAGATTGAAGTCAATGGAGAAATACACTTAAAGCCAAGAAGAGTTAATTAAAAAAATCCTACTCAAAAATAATTGTCTGAAAAAACAATTAAAATAATGGAGGCAAGGTTTAAAATCAGGTAGAACAGGCCATGATCTCATGCTCTCTGGAAATTAGAAGACACCCTCTAAAAACTGTGAAAACTCTGGCAGGCATTGTGTGTCTAGTCAGGGCAGCCTTGGACACTAAGCTCAGCACACATGACTTGGACACACAGAAAGGAAAAGGCCTAAAGAAGAGGACCATAGTCTGCAGTCAATCATTGTGCACTTTGTGTGCCAGACCATCTTTGATGAGTTAATCTGTCTCCAGAAAGTAAAAAGGGACATAGCGACTAGGAATGTTGGCTGGGATACTGACGATTGGATATGTTTGGATGGAATTAACCCCCAGCAATCAACATCTTTATTGATCAGGCTGGCAAAGCTGAAGAAGGGCGCTGGCAAGATCAAATATGTTAGGTTTACCCAAATATGGTCCAGGGTGGCGGTCATAAATAGGCTAAATAGTGGCAAAACTATTTTATTAAAAGTCAACGTTTCGACCCGACTTTGCAGATCTTCTTCAGGGCTAGAACGGACAAGATACAAAAAGTTATAGAGAATTATGGAAGTTACATAATATTAAGAAAAAAAATTATAAACAATGTGAATAAGCTAATTAAAATTATAAACAGTAAGTAAATTAAAAAATAAACAGAGTAAGCTAAGTAACAAGATTCTAAACTGAAGTAAATAGATGGTAACAATTGTTGTAGTGTGATATATAATATATGCCAATGTGAATATACTTCTACAGATCTACAGGAGAGATTGAAAGAAAAGGAAAAAGGATATAATATGAAATAATAGACATAAAGGAATGTATAGAAAGAAAAGAAAAAAGAAAACCAAAAAATATACAAGTAAGTAAATAAAATTAGAAGAATAAAAATAGAGACTTACAGGTGTGTTCAGCTAGGAGTTTCACCTAGAACTGGAAAATCAGGATAAGGGTAGGTATTGGGGAAATTTACTGACCTGTTTGGGCAATGGGAAAAAAAAAAAAAATAATGGAAAATTGCAGTATCTAAAATTTGAAGATATGGATGGGTACAAAGGAAAATACTATATCTATGAAATAATAAATTATAAATATATACATATACATATAAAATAGAATTAAGAAATTATAGATAAGAGTACAATGTGAATAAAAACAAAAATAGCAGAATATTTTTAAATTTTTATAAGTGTATCAATACACATTATATTTGTTGTTAAATGTTATTTTTACTTAAAAAATATTTTTACTTTACTATGTTAATTTTCAAGAAACAACAATTAAAAAGATTTGTTAATATTGAAATATAAACATTTTTAGTTTATATAACTTTATATGCACAGTAAGGGTCAAAAGTATTTGTATAGCAGTTGCAAAACATAAAATAAAATATACTGTTATAATTCTAAATGTATTCTATTACTAACTACATTGAATTTATATAAAAACTTGTATCAATATTTAATGGGACCACCTCCATGGCATTGTTTGAATTGGCCTTCATACTTATTTGGTTTAAAAGGCCTTTGGAGTTCTTTTTGACTAATCGCAAAGATACAATCATGGATGATAAGTAATCTTTGAGTACTAAGTTTATGAGGTATCCCTTCCAAAGTTATTTTATTTATATGAATCATGTCACTTTTCCTCGATTTTTTTATTTAATAAATATCTGCAAAAAATTTCTTTTTCCACTTTATGGTTCTTAAAATTACTGGGTTATAGTGAGAAAATGAATTGATATATTAGTTTTTTCTTTCAGTATCAATAACATTGGAATATGATTTTATTACCTGTTAAATTATTTTTCCTTTGTTCATCTGTACTCACTTGATAGAATGATGCTGTATGATTTAGCTATTCATATAAATCTATATTTCTTCATGGGATTTTAAAACTTATTTATTATTAATCTAAGGATGATATTTTAGTTATATCTTTTCAGTATTGAGTTTATTATGCGTCCTTTATCAAATTATTGTATTTATAAGAACCTTAAAATTTCCTCTGCAATGTCCTTAATTTTTTCTGTCATTTATTATTATTATTTTTTTTATATAGATGACTTGTCAGCAATGAATTTTCGCCATTTCCTTTTCTATTTGGTGGCTGTTTAAATCATTAGCTTATAGTGAAAGAATGAATTGACATATTAGTTTTGTCTTCCAATGTTAATAACAGTGGAATGTGATTTCATTGCCTGCTAAATAATTTTTCCTTTATTCACATATGCTCACAAATCATGTAGTATGAGGTATTCATAATAATGTACATTTGACTGTGGTATTTTAGAATTTATTTGTTATTGCATCTTGATAAGTGATAAAAACAAATCACTCAATATTTTTACAAATAATAGTAATACCTCATACTTACTAATTTCACCTGATATTTAAAATTGGGTGCACTAGCCCACTGTATTGTTAAATGGAATGCATGCATCATTTTAGTACATTATTCATTGTGGTATATTATACATCAATATTACAATTATTAATGATTATATTTATTTTTTTAATAAATGCCTTTTTTTCTATCGTTGTTATTTAAATTTGAAGCGAGTAGAGGTCAGTTTCTAATATATCATAATTTATTTAAATTAAAGATTTTCATTAGTTTGTTGGTATTTTTTATTTCTATTAATTTATAAAACCTAATAATTTGTTTGAAGTTATTTATATTTTAGATTAAAAGTTTCTTTAACTAGCTATATTTATTCCTAACAATTTGCTTTATTCTTTGCTTATGTTTAATAGAAATGTATTAACTAAATTAATGAAATTAATAACCTACCCAAATTATCTTAGGAGGACATGAATTTTTTTCTGCTTCTTGAAAATAAATATTAAACACGGACATTGTTAGATTCAATTAGGATACTTAATTAATTGTTAATAATATGATTTTATGCATTATATAATTATGCTTCTATTAATATTCATATGGTTCACAGTTAAAATTTATTGTGGAAGTTACAAAAAAACAATTCAATAAATTACCTATGTGCTTTTTATAAAAGTAATGAAGGTTGTACTAACCAATTCAAATTTTGGATTCTTTAACTTGAAAGCAATATTAATTTTGATATTTTCAAAATTTAAGTGGTTATTATTGTCTTTATGTCTATTCTTTTTTCTCAATTATATGTATATGTA